TATCACTTCACAGTGCAATCCTATGCATGCCTACTGAGAAATAAGTCCCTCCAAGTTCAATGGTATATATGCTTAGTGATGCAGCCTAACTGTCACAAAAGATGTTGTAGAAGGCTTTGAAACTGGCGCGATAGCAGTCACAAAACAAATAATGTAATATCGTTTTGCAGCATAAGTGCTGCCCTCATCTTCTCTATCAAAACAATCTCATTTAATACAATAAAAAGTGGGCGCAGGAGAGAGAATAGAGCTTTAAACGTATCTAGCCCTCAGATTTCCGGAGCAAATCTTGGAAATTGTGTGGGAAGTTTCTGCTAAAGTTAGTATTTCTCTGCATGAGTCACCTTACCTAATTATTACCCACAATGTCTTGTCTAGTAAATCAGCCATTCACTTTGGCTGCACAACTGGAGGTGGGTTTTTCCATCCAATTCCAAGTGTTAGTAAATGACTCACTGTTAACACCACAGGGCATAAACCCACGCCATATATTGAAAACACATGACTTCCCCCAAATAACCCTGGAGACTGTAGTTTGTTAAAGGTGCTGGGATTTGTAGCTCTGAACTACAGTTCCCAGGATTATTTCGGGGGTGGGTGGGAGCCATGACTGTTAAGGTGGTATAAATATGCTTTAAAGTATGATGTGGTGATGTGACCAGTTATTGCAAAGGCTCTTGCTTTCCCATTGGAAAGTGACACTACATGAAGGATGAATCCATTGGTTCTCATGGAATCACAGGGGTTTAAGTTGAACGCCATACGCAAAGAATAATGTATGAATCCCATCCTAAATTCACTTTAACCTGCATACAAAACAACCCACATTGCCAGATAACATTGTGCCACGACCACCTGAAAGATACAATAATCTGCATAATGATTCTTGTCTTCATTCCCAGTCTTGGATGCATGAACCATCTTTACAGTGTTAGAAAGGATGTTCCATGGTGTGGAATTGTATCCAGCAACATTTTGGGGGTGGGGTCCTATTGAATGCCATCTGATTAAGCCAGCCAGTGTGTTTGCTTTGTAGGTTTTGGCAACACACCAGCTCCTGTATGGCATCGACGGAGCTGTGCAGAGCCAGCTGTATGGTAAGGAGTGAGAGCTAGGTGATGTTTGGTGATTTCTCTCTTTCTCAGCCTTCAGTTCTATGACTGCTTGTACAGCTAATGCCTCTGAAATTCCTTGCCGATATCAAAGCAAACAACAGCTAAGATAGTTACCCTGAAGAATGTTATTTCAGACTTCTCAATTCACCCATACTCAAAAATATAAAAACACGATCTGTGGGAGGCTGCTTCCATACTGTGTATTTTGATCACCTAAAATAATAGTCACTGCAAAATCAAAGGACCACCGCATGATTGTATCTTTTCACAAGGGTCATTGACTGTACTAATTAGCCAAGTTCTTCCAGAGCACTTTATACTGATGTATTCAGGCACTAATAGAAAGGATTAAGATGAGATGAAACCAAAGACAGATCTTTTTAAAAAATAAAATAAAATAAAGACTTGTCAATAGAGTAGTGAATGGAAAAGAATCACTAACCTCTGGGTCAAATCGCCCTGCCAACCTGCTGCCTTAAGGTAGCAGCAATCACTTTTGGAAGACGGATTATTTGTCTAGCAGCACTACGTATTTCTCTCTCTCATACACACACACACACACACACACACACACAGCAATTTGCTTTCCCTGGCTCAAAGGATTGGAATGTTTGCCTGTATTTCTAAAGAGATGGAGAACAGATGAAGCTGATCAAGATAAAGATACGGTCATTGAGCACATAGATTTCCTGTGTGCTCTGCCTTTTGGAACACATTTCCTTTGTCAACATGCACAAAAGGGAAGAGATTACTCAAAATTACTTGAATATTAAAATTCCTATTTAGAATTCCATTCTACCCAGTTTTAATTTGAGGTAGGATTTGCCTTGGCCCAGCCCTGGAACTTGTGGTGTCACCAAGTCCCAAAGGACCTGACATTGTAAGGAAGAGAACAACAAGCTATCACTTTCCTTTGAGAGGCCATGGGACTCTGCAACCATAAAACCTGACTGATGCACTGACCTCACCCTGGAATGAGGAAGTACAGCTTACCCAGAGCTTATTCCACACCAAACCTCCAAATAAGACATAGGCAACACTTCCCACCTATAGGATCTCTCCATTGATCCTTAGAAGAAAAGATGACAGCACAGGACAAAATATGAACCCAGCCACATTCCATCAACTTGAATATCTCTTACTAAAGAATGGCATCTTCTATTGCATTGGCTGTACAGTAATATAAAGCATACCCAAATGATCTTGCAGGTAGGTTTCCATCCAGGAGGACGTAACGTGTCCATCAGGTGATTTTTATGCAACCAGGTCACCACCACATCTAGGCCAATGTAAAATTAAGCATTATTTTTCTTGCTTTCTGCAATGAGTAGCTAGTGTTGGACCCCATAATTTGTTATTGTCAAACCCTGGAACATCAATTTCCTAAACCAGTCGTTATCTAAGGACACTTTCACCCTGCATCTGTAGGCAAAGGAGGATCTGAACATGCACCTGCTGTATTTAATCACCTGCTAGAGACCAGCCACCATTGATGGGAAGAGACTTCCTTCCCACATGTCATTGCTTGAATCCTAGCGCTTCTCAATTTAGAAATTAAAGGCAGTATCCTTTCGAATGTATCACTAATTTCCACATATCGGCTACAAAGGGGGTGGAGAAATGTGTAATTGAAGGGGACAGTTAGCACAGATTAAAAGAGCTAGTAAAGGGGAGCCTAGCAAAGGTTTCTGAAATTATGCAGAGTGTGGAGACACTGTGCATATTTTTTCTTCTTCTCTTCTCACAGGATCCCAGGGCCATCCAGTGAAGCCAAATGGTGACATGGGGTAGAGAAAAGGAAGTACTTCTCCTAGGGTTGCCATAGTTTGAAGAGTAAAAAATATGATGCTATGACTACTCTCATTTTAAATACCCCTACTATATGTAGGCTATAGAAGCTGTGATATACTGCTGAGGGGGACAGGAGAAGAGAAGAGGAAAGCTGGTCTTCAGCCACTACTTATGTCTATATTTCATCCAGAAATGATAGCCAGAGACATTTTTGCAAGTTTAAAAAACCCACCTGGACAGAAATTTTACTCCTGGAAAAGAGAATGTGTCCTGGAAAAAGAGGACGCATGGCAACCTTACTTCTCCATACAGCACATAGTTAAATTATGCAATTTGCTAACATAAAATCTAGTGACAGCCAACAACTAATGAAAGGGTTAGACAAATTCATGGAGCATAAGGCTGTTAATGGCTGCTAGCCATCATCACCATCGTTGTTTAACTTGTATGTTGCTTTTCCACGGGAAATTGTCTCCAAAGTGGTTTACAGCACATAAAAATAGAACAACAATGAACATCACATAGGAAGAATAACATTGCCATATCAATAAATAAAACAGTAATTTCCATAACTATGTAAAGAACATTTCCTAGTATATGCTAGCCACATTACCTCAAGATGGTGTGTGTGTGTGTTTATGGGCAAGACTTTAAAATCATTGGCTGATATTTATCTACATTTTACTCAGAGGAGATCTATAGAAATAAATAGGCCTAACTTATGTTCATTAATTTCAGTGGGTCTATTCTGAATAAAACTTAGTCAAATATCACCCATAATGCCTATCTTCTGAGAAAAGAACAGAACACATAGCACTGATATTGTTCCGTGTGGGCCAAAGTCACCATCTAATCAAACCAAAAGATATATTATTTAACAAAATTCTGAGATTCCGAATCAGAATGATTTTGCAACTTGTTGTTGCCAAATGTCGCATATTTATGAGAACATTGTAGTTGAAAGGAAGAAAACAAAACACACACGCACAACTCTTCCTGTCCAGATTTATTCCAAAGGACTGTACTGTTCTGATAATATAGGACAAAACTGATGTTAGCCACCCACTGCACCATTTGTACGTTATTCTCATTTCACTCCTACCCTTCATCTGTCTTCCTTATTTAGGCAGTATTTCTTTTAACAGAGATTTAATAGGTATTTTGCTTCAGCTGCATTTTCATCCTATTCCTTCAAGTTTAACAGCACACATGGCTCAGCCCTGAAAAGAAGATTACATAAAGCTGTGGAGCCTGCCTATTTTTGTTATACGTAACCATCGTATGTAGCAACTTACACTCTGTGATAGAATTTGCTTCAGCTTCTCACCTTGGAAAAAAAATAGAAAGGTTATGTCCTCGAAGTTTCAGCTTCGCATCTTAAAAAAAATAAGAAAGCTTTCAGCTCTCACAGTTCTAGACTGTGTGCCTACCAGAGTGTTAATGGGATGCTCCAATTTGATTTTTCCATGTGCAATTTTGTGCATGCTCATCCACACACGAGCACTTTCAGATGAAGTGTTGCCTATTGAGCAGTGCTTTGAAAAGATGTACTGTATGCACACTATGGTTTTATTTTTGAGTATGTGAGCAGGTATTATTTGCTTGTGCGTGGCCAAAATGATTTTATTATTTGAGTTTTCTGATATACCAGGCTTGCACAAAACAGTGAGTTTAAATAATAAATAAATAAATAAATAAATAAATAAATAAATGTCAAACCCAGCCTCACCAGCAGTCCACCAAGAAGCACCTTACAAATGGAAGTAGGGTATGTGGTGACAAATGGCACCCCGAAAAACATTACCACAAATGGGGTGGTGTGTGTGTGTGTGTGTGTGTATGAGAGAGAGAGAGAGAGAGAGAGAGAGAGAGAGAGAGAGAGAAAATGCCCACATAATGTGCTTCAGCATGTTCACAGCTGGGTAACATGTGATTTTTTTGGTTGGATTTCTTTCTTTTTTGCTTTAGTTTAGTGGATTACCCATGCACTAGGAAAATTCACATTAAATGGGGGAGAGGAGTGAGGACCATGTCACGTGAACAAGGCAAAATCAGGCACACATGGGATGCAGCAAATCCACTCTAAACTATACGTTCAGAGTGGCTCAGTTGGTAGAACATGAGAGTCATAATCCCAGCGTTGTGGGTTCGAGCCCATGTTGGGTGAAATATTCTTTCATTGCAGGGAATTGGCCCTCATGGTTCCTTCCAACTCTACAATTCAATGATTCTGCTGTGTGTTCTCAGCCCCATAGAAAGGTATACAGCCCACTTAAGACTCCATTGCTAGGAAGTTGCAGCTCATCACAGAAAGCATGATTAGGTCATCTAACCTCCCGACCCCACACCCATGGCCTTGCTCATATTCTCTCACCACCACCACCACACACCTTCTTTTCTCTTCTTTTTTTGCCCTTAAGATGTCAGTTTGGGGGTGGTAGTATGTGTAGTGTTATGGCCTCAGCACAGGATCATCAAAATTGTTTTGACTAGTTTGCTCCCTGATTTCCTCTGTAGTGGAAGCCAGATGGATTGACTGGAACCTGCACACTCACTGGGTGGAGTTTTCTGAGGAAAAACTGTTAGAAGACTTTCACTTCCTTGCCTTGATAATTCAGTCATCGTCATTCCCCCCCTCCCCCCATTTTGGCACACACAAACGGCGTGGGAAATTTGAGGAAGCCATTTTTGCTCAACCCTAATTTAAATATAATTTGTAATCTTACAAAATGTCTGGAAAATGCTCAGGATTTAACAATGCCAAGCACCAAAAAAAAACTAGAGGACGTTTCAGAATTGGGGAGGATCCATAAGAAATCATTCCCCTCTCCTTATTTCTAATGAAATGTTCAGAAATGTGTTTAGCACCTAATAGAGAGAACACAGTACAGTGGAACCTCGTGTTGTGTACCATCCTCCTTACGAACACTTCGGGTTACAAGCTCTGCTAACCCGGAAGTAGGTGATCCTGGTTGCGAACTTTGCCCCGGGATGCGAACGGAAGTCGCGCGGCGGTGCAGCAGCAGCGGGGGGCCCCATTAGCGAAAGCACACCTCAGGTTAAGAACGGGTTTGGCTTAAGAACAGACCTCTGGAATGAATTAAGTTCGTAACCGGAGGTACCACTGTAGTATGGATGTTCTCATACTGCATCTACAAATGTTTAGCTATAACAGGTTCAATGTGGTCACTGGAAGTTTAATTGAATTACTTCTGTTTAAACTGAAATCATAAAATCATCACTAACATTGGCTGCCACCATTAACACAAGCCCATTTTTTTGACTTATGTAAACTTCAAAGAATATAAATCTAGTCAGGCTTAGTGTGGTTTACATTTTAGACATTATATTCAAATTATAACAACAAACTTAATGTAATTATGTACAGAGGTCTTTGATACATGAGAACCGGATTACATTCCTCAACATAATGAAACTTTTCCTCCCTAAATGTGAGTTTTTAAAAGGAGGGTGGGGAAACTGTGGCCCTCCAAATTTGGCTGAACTACAAATCCCATAATGCCTGATGATTAGCCAGGCTGGCTGGGGTGGATGGGAGCTGGAGTCCAGCAACTTCTGGAGGTTCATAGGTTCCCAATCTCTATTTAACAAAACAAAACAAAACAAAACAAAACAAAACAAAACAAAACAAAACAAAACACAAAGCCTCAAGAGACACTAATATTTGCAACCAAAGGTCCTAACCTACTTCCCTGTTGTAAATGATTAAGAAGTCTGGCTCCTTGTGGATTACAACTGGCAGCTGTAAGGTGTAAAATTTTGCAGTTTATTGTAGGGGGATTTCGTCGTAATCTCTTTTTTCTCTAGGTTATTTGAGAAAGAAAACCCTTTGATTTTTTTTTGTCTGCAGTTTTTATAGAATGTGTATATACATGGTTCTGTTTCTTACATAAAACATGTGCACATCTACAAACGGAACTTGCATGGTGAATTTGGTACAAATAACTGATACGGATTCCTGTGAAAATTCATCATCAAGGACATTCTCACAAAAGACCAGATCCATTAGATCATTGTGTCAAGAATGAAGCAGCCAGGATAATGTCCCGTAGGCACTGCTACATATCGAGATCATGGCATGATCCTGGCCACAGTCACTATTGCCAAATACAGTCATTCGCATTGTCCTTTTCCTGAATAGTGAGAAGCCAGAAGCAGACTTCCTTTCAAAGACAAAGCATCTGAGACTTCAAAATATCAGATTCCTTTCAAAGACAAAGCACTTGAGATTTAACAAGTCTTCATGATAACATCTTTGTTTGCTGATGCAGTGGTTGAGAAATTATTATTGTGACACAAAAGTTAGCAGGCAAAACTAGATTCACAGTGACATCAGTCCAGTTCTCCCCCCCAACACACATATCTCAGACTAAAATATCTTACATGCTCCAGCCAACTCCTGATTGTGCCCTTCTCTCAAATGATCTGCCAGACCAGGCAAAACTGGTCTTCAGCTCCTTCCTAAGCAGGTGGGTGCAACCAACATTCCAAGCAACTTTAGATAAAGAACTCTGAGCTACACAAAACCTAGGAAGAATGGACAGTACAATCGCATGACTCACAACATAAAAACTTCATCAACGTGGCAGAGTAGGTGAAAAGAGAAACAGGACTGAGACAATTTGCCTGTATATCTCCCTAAAGGCACTTTGGCCACCCCATGGCATATATATACATGCCATGGATATAACTGCAAACATGTGTATGGGATTGTAAAATTATTATTATGGTAAATTTGTTCAGTAAACTCCACATTCCACATAAACACAATAAGCACAAATTCCAGAAAATTAGGATATTGCTGTGTAAGAAAGTTGGAGGTTTTTGAGAAAAGTTTGAAAACTACCAGCGAGACAGTTATGAAAACTGTCTTTGAGCTATTGTTTAGTGGCTCCATGGAACTTCAATCTTCTAGAGCAGTCACGTCCAACTTCCAAAAGACTGTGATCTACTCCCAGTATAAATAAACTGGCAGTGATCTACCCATTGGATTGATCAGGGTTGTTCAGCTTTTTGGGGGGAGACTTCACCAAAGTTGTACAGCTTTTGGGGGGGAGGATGAGCCAAAGTGGCTGAGCTTTGGGGGGGGGGAGTGATTGATCAGGATCCCACGATCGATCATGATCAACCACAGACACCCCGCGATCGACAGGTAGATCACAATCAATCGGTTGGACATACCTGTTCTAGAGCAGTTGCCATATTCAAGAAATAGGAAATCTAAAATGACTGCCTGGTCACTGCGGAGAGCAGAGTGTCTGGTCTCTCTACAGCGAAGGGAATTTCAAGTGTGGTAACAATAGATGAGTGTGTGGAATAAGAAAGGGAAAGGTGCCATTTTGAAAAAAACATTGTGCATTCTTGCCAATGCATATTTGCCACTGAATTTAAAGAGTGGGGACAATACAAAAAGTATTGCAATTACAAAAAATAAACGTATCACAAAAAGGCTGCATATTAGCATAATGTATGGATGAAAATTATTTCTACTATAAATTAAATAGAAATATATCTCCTGATAATGGGAGAGACTGTGATCAGGTGACCTTTGTCTGCTGTTCAGGTGCTAACTGTTGATGTAGTACTTCAATAAATTAAGACACATGGCCACCCCAACCCCAGAGTGGAGCCAATGATAGATTTTTCTGAAAAGGGCATCAAAAGATGGGCCACCAAAGATTTTCTAGCAGTTTCCAACAAAATATTATGAACCTATAATGCAATGCAGCTGTTTCAGCTGCAGTGAAATATGAAGTGGGATTTATGGAAATTTGCATTTTAGAGGCCAATCTTTCTATACATCAGAAATCAGATGGGTGGCTGAAGAGTGTCTCAAGAGGACAGATTTCATTTCCAAACCTGGATGCAGTAAGCTTTCCTTCAATGGCAACAGCTAAGTTCAGAATACCAGTGACAGTTATAAAAGACATGCAAGCATCCAGTCCAAAATCAGATTCAACTGGAGAAATATAAAAGAGTTTCCTGGGTGCCAAGAAAGGAACCAGACTAGGGACTAGGCAAGCCTTCCTGAGAAAAGTTTTCCATGACTTTAGTCAGTACTGATTTGGGTTTATTTAAAAAAAAAAAAATGAAGTGCACACATATTATGATTAAAGTGTTGAGGGTGCAGCACAAAATGGCCGTGATGGGCAGCAAATAAAAAAGAAGTGCCACTACTCCACCAGGGCCAGACCATCCTCCACCAGGGCCAGGGCTTTTTCAGTGACGGCTTCGACCTGGTGGAATGCTCCGTCCACGAGACTAGGGCCCTGCAGGACTTGATCTCCTTCCTCAGGGCCTGTAAGACAGAGCTATTCTGCCTGGCCTTCAATTTGAATTAGCCTGATCCTCTATTCCCTTTTCCCTTTCCTCTTCTATGAAGAAACCCTTTCTGGGACCCCACATTTAAATTCTTATTCACACACCTCCTTGCTGGCCCAAGTAGGACCAACTTGGCCAGTTAATCCTGGTGATCATTCAATGTCTACTGATTGGGTTCCCCCCCCCCAAAAAAAATGACCCCTGAATTTTTGAATTTTATTGATATTGATGCTGCATCTTATGTCGTATTCTATGCTGTTTTATGCTGTTTTAAAGTCACATTTTAATCAATGTTTTATATTTGCTGTTAGCTGCCCTGAGCCCGGTTTTTAAACCGGGAAGGGCGGGGTATAAGTAAAAAAATTTTTACTTATTTATTTACTCCTGTCAAAGACTCTCCAACATAAATGACCTGTTGGATCAGACCCGAGGCCTATCTAACAGCACCTAGTTTCCTAACCAGATGGGAAGCCCACAAGCAAGACTTGGGCACAATAGCATTCTGTTGTTGTTTCCCAGAACCTTGCAATTGGAGCGTGGTGCCTCTGATTCTAGAGGTAATATATTGGGATAGTATTGAATATGTTCTTCGACTTCAACTTCCATCAGGTCTAGTCAGCATGGCCAATGGACAAGGATGTTGTAGTCCAACAACACCTGCACTTACCAGATTGGAGCCACATTTTTTAAAAATAAAGTCTAGTTTCTGTCTGAATATCTTGTCTAGCTTAAAAAAAAACAACGTGTGCATAGAGACCCTTATTGTTCCCAGAGTGGTTGAGATCATGGCAGCTGCAATACATAAGGCTAAGGATGGTGGTTATTAA